TGAAGAGGTAGTTCAGTGACTGGATCAGGTGTGTTGGAGCAGGAAACATGTAAAACATGTAGGACTGTGGCCCCCCAGGACCACCCCTGCTCTGTACTTTAGTTTTCTCTGTCCTCTATTTTAGTACGTCGCTCCAGAATTGCAGTGGAAACATAAAAATACATCGAAAAATATTCATTCTCCAGATTTTACAGGTTCAGTTTTTGCTAATTCACTTAGTTGCAGTTCTGTATAACTTTTTCCATTTTTCTCCAAACAGCCTAAAATTTGTCCTGGATTTTAGACTCAAATGATTAACAGTGAGAAGCCCGAATGAGTCTTTTCATAGTCATGTAAATATATTCAGATTTAGTGATGATAACAAAGACACACCTCCCTCCTGTGTGTGAAACTAAAGCTTGTCTTTACAGGTTTAATGTATCAAATCAGACTGACATTATTAACCCAATAACACAAAAACAAACCTAAAACAGTGAGTTTTACAGATATTGAGGTAGAATTTGATGCGTTAGGAGCTGAGATTATTTTCCAAACACACACATATGAAGAACCAACAGATGCTTTTTGTTTAAACAGTGGCAGGCAGTGAGGCAGGGGATGTGAAATATTAAGTGTGTCTATATTTGGACCTTGGAYAGTTGATTTAATAACTCCATGATCCCTGGTTGTGTCCCAGCTGCTTTCAGACACACTGTCCTCACAAAGCTCAGGACAAATATGTGTGTGTGTGTGTGTTGTTGCACAGTGTGGAACAGACTCAGCACATATGAGTACATCGTACGGCAGCGCCACCGTCTGGACAGCAGAGACTCAAAGAAACCAGCTGCAGTGAAGGAAACCGGACCGCCCCCGTTTGTTAAGGTACTGATCTGCAGGGGATGGGGGTCGGACCTGGTGGTCTGGAGTGAGTTGTTCAGTGTCTGTCCTCTGCCCCCCCACAGGGTGGGAACTACTCAGGGACTCTGGGTTACACCAACCCTCAGCTGGACGTAGACGAGCCCACTGCTGTGGCCGTGCAGGGMGACACAGAGTAAGTTCTGCTTATTTTCTAACAGAACCAGGTGCAGATTCAGATCTGCAGGTTGGTCCCGGCTGACTAACCTGGTCCTGACAAGTCCTCACACCACCGTCAGGAGGTGGTTTTCTWTRCAGAAACACCAGCTGYGTTTCCATTGACCATGAAAATGCACAAATTAGAATTTCAAAAATAAATTTGCTCAATGGAAACACGTCAATTTAGAAAAAAATTACGTTTTTCGACAAAATGTTTTTGCACTAGGATGAGGTGGTTTTTCAGTTGTATCGAAATTGATATATTTCACAAAACTGCAATGGAAACACTTTTTCGCATCATGGGAGTCACGTGATCAACAACCGTCTGTTTCTACTGGCGAAAAGACGTCGAAGAAGATAACAGGAAGTA